CAGCATCAAATTCATGGAAACTAAATAGAATATTTTTTTTTTGATAATGAAATCATTTTAAAGAAGGAATTGGATACAGAGTAAATATATGTCTCGTACAATTTCTATTTTTATTTTAAATAATTATTGTCTATTTATTATATGTACCAGGAAAATAGTTTAATATCATAAAATAAGAATTATGCTTTGTATTGATTAGAACGTAATTTGAATAACAGTAGAAAAACCGAAAGCAATGATATTGCAAAATAATGATAATTGTGATATATAGAAATTTTACAATACTGTATATTACATGTGAGCATCCAGTCAAAAGACTCAATAGATGGCTGGATTATTCCATTTCACAATAGTGGGTGAAGTTGGTGGAAAAAAGATGGGCAGATCATGATTAGGTCTAACCTATTTGAAATCTGGGTGGGGCGCTGGAGGCTAAATAGTTAGTTGCTTTTTCAACAGAAGTTCGAAAAAAACTCTTATTTGGAAAAAATGATTTCAGACATGCTCTCAAGAAAAAAAAATCCTTGCCACAGTAGTGTGAAAAAATAGTATGCAATTGACAAATTTTCTCCAGCACCCAGCAAAGATTTTAAGTGGGTCACCCCTTATTTCTGAAAATGTATGCTCAGAAAAAAATGCTGTTAACTCCATGGTTTTTAATTTTACTATTTTCGTTGATAAGTAAAATTTACTAAATTAAACATTCAAAAAAACAATAGAACTCATTGTTTTCCTGCCAAGTTCATGAACTTAAAACCTAATGAATTTTTCAAATATCAAAATGGTGAAATTAAACAAAATATCATTATTATTTCACTAGCCTTCATTATTTTTTAAATTTTGCAAAACAAATAATCAGACCTGTATTCAAGTAATCCTGGCTTTCATCATACAGGAACTAAACAAAAGGTTTCTGTCCCTCCAATGTACCTTCACCACCCACAGATAAATGAACCCTCCTAAGATGGTAGCCATTTTGAATACCTAAGTGCTCATTAACTTAAGTGTCAATGTTTGAAATGGAAAGTGTACAAATGCTGAGTGCAGTGGGGGAAAAAAACACTTCCACACAAGATGCAGTTAGAATACATCAGTTTTAGCAGCTAGCATGGACCAAACAACATCAAATCAAACATGGAGAAGTTGCCTGTGAAATGTCTACTTTGTTTGATAGTTCTGTTTCTGCAGTATTCAGGTAGGGGAGAAAATAATATTGTCAGTTGGAGGTCGTGTTTACACACGTCAGTTTCACCTGTTTCACTGAGACCTTTGAGGTCACACCTGACTTTACTTTACTCCAGGGCCTGGCAGTTCTAGAAATAATACAAAGGTTCAAAAACTTACAAAATGCATCAGGTTGTCTCAGTGAAACTTCTTGGTATTCAATTCAAGGTCGATCATCAAAGATTCAATTTCCGTGATATACTCTCACAGAAAATCACTTTTTCAGACCAAATTTTGTCCGTGTATGCATGTATTGCACCAAACCATGACAATGGTTTACAACTATTTCTTGTTAACCAACTCCCAGACTATAGTAATTCAGATCATGGAAGTTACAAATATTTCTATTTTTACTTCCATTTTCAGATATGTTACACAGTGACTGTGCTTTGGTATTTTTTAACCCTAAAATGCCATAACTGTTCCCACCAAATATTTTTTCACATTTTCAATATACATGTATCTTTTTTAATAAGGTTTTTTTTATTGGAATGAAGAAAATTTCTCATATCATTGTCCTTGCACAGATTTTAGATCGAAATTTTAACATCAACAAAAAGTATGTTCAAGGTGATGGGAGTTGACTTTGTAATTCAAGGAGTTGAGAAGTTCAAACTAATTGGATCCTTGAATAGAATAGGAATGTGCATTGTTTACGCCCATTACATTCTACTAATATTGTTCTTGTTTTGTTCAAAATATTGACGTAATCAGGGACAATATAATACAGGCTACACCAAGTACGGGCTAAGATTTAAAATTATCTCATATTTTTGCATATCGACTAAACCTAATTATATTTATGAACGAGAGGAGACAATAGTTAGCTTGGGCTAAGGAACATCCAAACTTGTTATGAATATACAAATCCTCAGGCCTTTAAATTATGATTACTTAGTATATTATCCAGGAAGTTGTACATTAGTATGTTTGACCTTTTATCTTGTGCTACACATCTATCTCCACTGCACTTGAATCTAAAACATTGATGTAACAGTTCCTAATACCATAAACACACTAAAGTTTCGACCGTTTCTAAATAATTATGTTGAAATTTTGAAGTGGTCAAATTTATAATTATAGAGTAAAAATCAGTGATTAC